CCGCGACCTATACATAGAGTATGTTTATATAGTTACATCAAATTTATTTGATAAATCATTCTTAGACCTTTATAGTTTTAACTTTGAAGTGTTGGATGATGTAGTGTTTTTATGAAATATTTTTGATTTGATACATTTATTATTTTGTTCCAATGGTACGTGGAAAGTTACAACATTACGGTAACATTTGAAAAGAGAATTTAGAAGCGAGAGTAAACGTAATAATGACGACTTGCTTCTTATTATATAAATTACTATATAAATAAAACACCTTTAACGGTTTTAAACGAGAAAAATATTAGTTAAACTATTATTAATTTATTTTAACTCCAGTCGGATCATTCGGAAGCTTTTTAGCAGCCGTGGTCGCCTAAACTTCTAGTACTATTACAGATGTTCTTCGAAGTAGAAATTTCTCTGTAGTCTAAATTCAGCATATTATTTTTAGTTGTTGTGGGAAATGTGGCGAGAGCTTCGAAACTGAAGAACTCCTGGAGAAACATATGAAAGACCATCCAGTTGTTGAGAATAATACTTGCCACGAGGTGAGCATTACCGCTGATAGCGGCCCCCTAGCTCAGTTGTGGGTCGCGTGAAGTAAGCTATATATAGCTATTTTCATTTATAGAGATTATAGAGGAGTACTCAATAGGAGTAGATAGTACTTATCTATACTAATATATAAAGCTGAAAAGCTTGTTTGTTTGGACGCGCTAATCTCAGAAACTACGGGTTCAAATTGATCTGTGTTGGTTAGAGCATTTATCGGGGAAGGCTATAGGCTAAAAAAAAATTGCCCTGTGATAAATACAAGCGAAGATACAGCGTGGAAGAAATGTGGAAAAAAAATGGGAAAATTATTGATCATTTTGGGTTTCCGAGGCGTGTGCTGCAAAAACGGTTCAAGATACCCATAAATATGTATGAAAGAACGATTCTTGTTTAAATTATGTAAAAAAAAATCCGCGACGCTATATGTCTATCTTTTAAGATTAACTGGCCAGAACGATGCGAAGGAACGCGACCGACGTCGTGGGTAACAGTTTAAGTTTATAAAGGTGCAGGGGTTTGCAAAAACCGAATTTGGATGCCCAAAATAACGATTCTAGCGGACGAAATCGCTGGCACAGTTAGTATGAAATAAAAACACTTAAAACTAAACATAATCTGAAAGAAATATTTATGATAAAGTACACAAAAGAGACATAATTAAGGCGCCTTTAAAGTTAAATAAAAAAAAAATTAAGACAACAAGACAATCTATTAACTGAGTGGGCAAGGAAATTATATTTAAATTTTTTTTATATTTACTCTTAGATTTCTTATTTAGAATTTTTAAGAACTTGTATAAATTTATTTGTTGTATCAATTTGTTGTTTTGTTTGTCCCAGTGTAACAAGAGGTTCGCGAATGAGCGCTCGTTCTCCATACACGTGGAGCGAGTCCACCTCGGGATCAAGATGAAGCAGACGCCGAAGCAAGTGACGCGAGAAAGACGCGCCTGCGCATCTAGGCCGTGCGTTTGCGAGATATGTGGCAAGTCGTGCACGGTTAGGAGGATGAGTTATACAATTCAATATTTCTATACTAGTATTATAAAGCTGAAGGGTTTGTTTGATTGAAAAGTTGTGTTGTTTAGAGAATTTTTCGAGGAAGGCCTTAAACATGCTGCGATCCATAGGTGCGGAGAAATAGTGGGAAATGTGGAGAAATGGGAAATTATTTTTTGTAGGTGCGTAGTCTGCGAAAACGGTTTAAGATACCCAAAAAATATCTATCAAAGAATGATTCCTCTTTAAACGGCCTAAAAAATGTTCGGGATAGTAAATGTCTGTCTATTAAGAATAGCTTGCAAGAACGACGCGATGTGGACGACATCGCTATTATTTATAAAGATGAGGAGGTTTGCAAAAACAAGATTTCAAGCCCCAAAGAACTATTCTATGTGTCTGATTGATGACTTTATACGGGTGTGTTATTTCATCTACCATCAAGGGAACCCTATGCTTATCTGCAATGATACGTTAATAGTTGACATAACCAGACAAAGTTTGTGCAGTTGTAATATTTTTCACAGAACAACGGGACTCTAGTGGCCCACCAGCGGATCCATTCCGGCGAAAAACCTTACCATTGTAACGAATGTCCCAAAAAGTTTAGCGTGTACCAGCGGTTACAGGTACGTGACATCGAATCTTTGACCTAGTTAGAACTGGTCTATAAGTATAGTGTATTCTTCCTAAGTTGGGAAAAGACCACAACAAATATGGCCGATTTCAAACATAGAGAACTAGTTGACCTTTTATAGGGGGAAGTTGATGCCACAGATAACCCATTTTTAATTTTTTTTTAAGTCATTGTTTAACTCGACGTATGTAACGCTTTTCAGTTTCGTGTATGAGTGGGACTTCTATCTTCTATTGTCGTTGACTTTGCTTGAATCTCATTTACGTAAATTTATTTTTGAGATTTTTATTAATTTTACCATGAAATTATGGTTTTTACTAAGTGAATGTTAGGTTGTTTCATTAGTTTAATGTAAAATTCAGTGTCGAACAGTTTTCTTAGTGTAAATCAATGTAAACCTTTTGAGAAAATCGCGATTTCAGATAAATTGTGTGCTTGTTTACTAAAAAAAGTTAGAAAAAAATACACTATAATATATAGTAACATGTATAATTGTAACATAGTCTATTTCCAAAATGAAAGTAAATTTGTTAGAAAGTAATCTTTATCATGATCTAGCTATTTATTTATACTATATCTTTTTATAGATCCACCTGCGCACGCACACGGGCGAATGTCCCTACCCATGCCCGCAATGCCCGAAAGCGTTCAAACACAAAGCGGCACTAAACAGACACAGTCGAGTAAGTTGGTAGTATTTTTTCCCTTATAAAATGTTTGTAACGCACACTAATATTTTTTTTTCTGAACACAAGAATTTCGATATAATAATAAGTACTGTCTGTAGTTGAGCGAGTATTACACTTTTAATTCAAATACTTTAACAGTTTAAAACGCGCAATATATTAGTTATTTAAAATTATTTTAACTGCGGCCCGACGATTCGACTGCTTTGAAACTGCCGTGGTCACGGGGTGATCACTAATAACTAATCTTTCGCGTTTTAAACCTTTAAAGTTCTTTATTTAAATATGAATAAGTAAAATGAAAGGATATTAATGGTAAAATAGTACCATTAATATCCTTTCAGTGTTAAATTATTTGTAATAAATTTCTATGCAAAGTCTCATCATTTTCCGCAGGTCCACAGCGGCGTGAAGCCCTACGTGTGCTCGCACTGCGGGAAATCGTTTTCCCAGTCCAATTCGATGAAATTGCACGTTAACACCGTGCATTTGAAAATGCCGACTCCGTACAGGCGAAGAAATAGGACAAACCATACATTTTGATAATAAAGTGATTAAAACAATGTTTTCTTTTATTAACGCTTCATTGCACAAAAGAAAAGAAATAAACACAAACGACACTTATACACTAAACATATGGAATGGGCGGACTTATCGCTAACAAGCCATCTCTTCCAGGCAACTTTTTAAATTCCATTTTATGAAAAATTAATTGGATTATTAAAGGGGTTGAGCCATTTCAGAGTCATGATTAATATAAAAGAAGTCCTACAGTTTGTTATAATGTTTTTTACCTTTTCATGTATAAGGGCTCAACTAATTATGATAAAAATTTGACGAACATACTTAGAAAGTGGTTACGATACTAAACTATTTCTCGAATAGAAATTTTCACGCCCTGGCTGAAGTTATTCGGTGTGGGTAGTTTTTATTTTTATCAAAGTCTGTTTAACAGTTTGCACGTGAAATAGCAGCATATATCCATCTTCCTAATCACGTTACTAATTACACACATAACTGTGATAAGACAAGGACACAGTTAAATGTCATCGAAAATGTCGTAATATCGAAAGCGCTTATGTGAGGTTACGACCATGAATATGGAGGTTAGCAAGTTTTATAGTGATGCGTAAGCGTTGAAAGTTTTATCGATAAAATATATACTGCTAATAAAATAGGTACATTATTTATGAAACACCTTTATATGCAGGTTTATTTAATTATTAATATCTGCTCCATTTAATTTTACATGTAAGTATAATACTAATATTGATGGCGTTTGTCTCTACTAAAAATTACATCAATTTACGAAAAGGGAATACAAAAAATAAATGCCTCAAACGTTTTTTGCCGTTACAATAATCAGTTTAAGAACAATTTCACCAAATATAACGTCGTCATAAAAAAAATTGATAATCGTTAGTAGTCGAAGTGAAAATATATCTGCCAAAAGTTAGTTGGCACATAGTGATAATCGGCCAAATAATTTTCGGCGAAAAGGCTGAGATCCATATTTGTGCATTTTCTCACAATGTGATTTATGCATTTTGACAAAGTAAGGCCAGCTCATTAAATTCTAAATGAACTTTAAATAGAAATCAAATTTATCGATACTTTGGCACAGCACTATTATTACAGATATGTCGTTATTGTATTGAAGCTTACAGTCTGATCAAAAACATTTTATAAGGAACTTGTTTGTTTTGTGTATATACTATTAAGGTAAGGCTTTTATTCGTACTTTTTTATTTCTTGCGATTCGGCCAGACACATAAATGAATCCGTTTTGCTGGTCAGATTTTATATGTAGGTAAATCTGTTCCTGGACTGTTCTGAGCTTTTCGTGGACAAGACGAAGTTCCTAATTATCCCGGGAACTGCATTCGGGAGCTTTCTGTGCTAAATAAGAAATTGTTGAGACATAAACCCAAGACTTCTCGTATTAGAGGAAAAACGCATTTACTATTTAATCAAGACGCTTTTAAATAAAACTATTATTTTGAACGTAGTATTCTACTATAATGAACACATCTATTCGTGTATTTATTATTTGTGTTGTCGTTTGAAAGGCGTACATACATTGATATTATGAATTTTTATACAAAAACAATTAACAGTTTTAGAAATATGGAGAGCCAAGCCTGTTGCGAACACGATGATGTACCAGGAATTCGGCTTATCATTGTAAGTTTAACTAATATATCACGTTTTAAACCGTTAAAGTGTTTTATTTAAACAATGTAGAATTATTAATACACTAAACTAAACCAAACGTTTAAAACAGTTTTAAAAATGTTCGGTGGAGGATCATATTTTTTACTTAATTATGATGATCTTAAGGGTAATCTAGATGATTGCAAAGTTAGCCTGTCAACAGAAGTCATCATTACAACCAAGGTTATATATCAATTCAATTTAATGTCTTTATGAAAACATGACGGGTTCATTGATGTAAGGGTAGCAACACATTGCTAATAAACGACGGGTCGAGGGTTCGATTCCCACCAGGGCTAACATTTTTCTAATCAATTTATATTTTTTCTAAAATGGAGCATGTGGTAGGAATTTATAGATTCCGTCCGGGTCACGAACGGAATCTGATTCACAATTCACATGTATACGTTCCGCGTCTCTGATGGATAAAGACGAATCAAACTTTTAATGTTTTCCATAGAAAACTCAATCTCATAGGTGATACCATCCATTAACTAAACCGTATTGAAGTTGTTTGATATATTATGTAGATAAAAATCAAGTCACATCACATACTAAACAGCTTTATCGTTTACAGTTGAATCTTCCTGAAGACGAAGGCGAGGGTTTGGGTTTTCGTCTAACGAGGACCTTATGGGACCCTTATCCATGGGTAAGTCCTTAGGAACTAGTTTAATAGTATTTAAAAACGCCTTAACAAATAATAGAGCAATTTTGTAAACGAAAAAATGTCAATAAATTAAGCATGGTTTAAATTTTGTAAACAAGTAAGCACATACTTCTTCCTACTATTATAACCCATAGCTTTTAACCTCAATAAAACAAAAAAGTGTTTTGTACAAATATTTAATTCAGTAGGATATAGTTTTTTGAATAACACACTTTTAACGGTTTGAAATACGAAATTTATCAGTGAAAATTATTTTACAAATGCTTTAACCGTTAAAAGTGTTTTATTTTGAGTTTTATATAGTATTTGTAATACTTAGTTCACTCGCTTAAACTACAGATAATACAAGATTCTTTTTTATTTCTACGTGCTCTGGTTGAAGCCTGCAAATTTAATTTTGCCTTCAATTAACTAACAATACCTTCGATCAATTCAGCCGTTCGGTGTCCACTTCTGAACATAGGCCTCCCCCATAGACTTCCAGTACGACCGGTCGTTCGCTAGTTGAATCCAGCGTTTCCCTGCTACCTTAACCAGGTCATCGGTCCACCTGGTAGGACATCCAGGTTTTCGACGTCCGGTACCTGGTCTCCACTCCAGAACCTTTTTCTACAGCCGCCAGTTCTACGAGCGATGTGCCCAGCCCACTGCCACTTCAGCTTGCCAATTCGATGGGCTATGTCAATACTGTAGTTCTTCTTGTACAATACCTTATACAATAACAATACCTTACTTGATTTAAATTACTAAGTATGTAAACTAAGCTTTTCTTAGAAAGGACTCTATTTTAATTCCTTCATACAAAGGTTCATGATGTGACATCAGGATCCAGGGCTGAGAGTGCCGGTTTGAAAGCCGGGGATTGCCTGTTACAAGCGGATGGAAAGGATTTATTGGGGTTGCCAGTAAGTTTACAAAAATTAACGCGCTACCTACGGTTAGTAGTAAAGTCGATTCATAGATTTACTTTAGTGTTTCAAAAATACCTATAAATTTGATGTATGTGTATTTAACTTTTAATAATTGATAATCACTAAGTGACGTGTTGTTCATTTTATTTTATAACTATGTTTTGTCAGGTATGTTATAAATATTTTCAGTTAACACAAATACCTTGCCGCTGGACGCAAGAATTGTATCCCCCCTGTTTACGCTAATAATTGAAAGAGTTACTGATATATATATATATATATATATATATATATATATATATATATATATATATACTTATAATGAGTTGCGCTTATAGCACTATTATTTATTTAAAATATCAAATGGTTGTATAAGCCTATTTAAAAGACGAGCAGTGGGTTTTCTTCTAGCATTGCACTAAACAAATAAAGAGATTGATTATTATTATTTAGTATTATTAACGTATGGCAACATCGCCTTTTTTTCTTCTTAGGTTGGCCAAGTGGCGGGAATTATTAGAGGTAATGGTGACAGCCACGGGGTTTCATTACTAGTTTGGAATTGCGGTGTCGATCCGAAAGACGATCCAGAGGTAAGGCTTAAAATTCAAATAATATTATTGGTTTACTTACTAATCTATGAAAAAAAAGTTTGTGTTAATCGTAATAGCTATTGAGCTGGTATTTACGATCGTAGGTAAATCGTTGAAAGATTCACTTCAGAAATAATAATAATAAAAAATGGATGAAATACCATTCTATTTGGATTGAACAAAATATTTTCTATTTCCTCCGTATTGTCAATCACGGAAGCTCAATTAGTTAGAGCAGCAGCGTGGAAATCTGTGGATGTTCAATTCCCACCCGTGTCGTAAAATCTTATAATCGTTAATATAAATAATATCACCATGTGTTACATGAGATAAATATTAAAGTTCTAATCCTTCGAACCTCAAATATTTTTTAAGATACATACAAATATATATTTCTTTATTGTTTGGTTCTCATCATTTACTCAACAGCTACTTTGGAGCGCTGGAGGAGGTTCCAGGGGGGAAAAGTCGCGTAGAGCTCTCTCTGGTGTCGTGAGAGCTTTATCTTGTTGCGTCTGCGCAGCCACAGCTGTCAGTGCACTAAATTGCGCGAGATCTCATCTTTACTGCGAAGGTATGAAGTTATAAGTCTACTTATACCTTTAGTGTGATAAACCAATCTAAGGGATTTACATAAGGAGGATGACGACAAACATTTTTTTTCAATTTCATAGGTTGTTGGAGCCGACTGGAGAAGTGTGCTCTGTGCAGAGAGCCATTACCAGCAAAAGAATCGCCATACGCCAAGAATCTAGTTGCTGAACAGGTAAAAACCTATTTAATAAAGTTTTATATAAAATTTAATAATACAAGCATCATACTTAGTACCGATTTACAAAAATATATATATATTATTGTTTAGTTATTTAAATAGTAATATACTGTAATAATAAATGTATAATGTTATAAACCACTAAATATCACTATAGTTTATTTTAATTATGCACTTGTTTCAGGTTTTCGAAGCGATAGCCACAGAGTACGAAATAAAAGAATCAATGAAGAAAAACCAAACGTGTTCTGCGTACAATTCGCCAAACAGGTCACCAAATGTATCACCATCACCTAGTCGAAAAGGACAATATCAATTATCGATGATGAATAGACGAATAAATAGCGCAAAATATTCCTCCGATCCAAATCTTCGAAGATCGTTAAACAGCGAAAACAAAAAACTTTCTAATTTAGTAGATAGTTCATATACTGGTAACACCTGTCAATGTCAAACACGCTGCAATGTTGGTAGAACGGTCAACCAAAATTGGCGGGAACAGCAGACCGACACAAGAATTCCTCCGAAAATTAATTTAGATAGTAACGGATGTCTTAATAAATGTAACATGACGATACAACATAAATTAGTGGCCCGTTTAAGACAAGCTTGCTCATTGGCGGATTTACAAAATCTTGCAGTTCAGAGTTGCCAGCTCTCAAAATCTTTGAATAACGTGTCTAGTGAAAAAAGGCAAGTTTTTTTAATAACTATTCAATTCATTCAAACTGTTTTTATTTGTTTATGATTTCGTTTTTAGCAATACGGCGCAACAACACAGTACATCGATGGATAATTTAAAAGCAGAGACCAATAATGGCGGTTTGTTTCTTTGCAATATTTTATTACAGTTACACATTAATTACTTTTTTATATTTAAGAAGGACATACTAGCATAGTGATCACTTATGGAAGGTAAAATCCATTTAACATCTCAAGAAGATGCGCTGTCCATCTGTATTGGCTGCGGTTTTATCTGTGGAAATCCACAGATAAAACCGAAACACAATTAAACTTCACGAGTTTTTCATCTGTGGGCAGAATTTCAATATTCTTACTATTTAATATCGACATTGTCCGAAGTCCAACATGTTTCAAAAAAATGATGATGACAACATGTGGGACCCAGTGGGAGTCGAAATCACGACACATTGATTATTAGTCATACGTTGCTACCCGACAATCCGACTATTACACCAACGAGTCTAAATAAAACACTTTAACGGTTTAAAACGCGATATATTAGTTAAACTTATTTGAATATGATTTTGAACTTCGGCCTTCGGCGAACTATGCTTTGCAGCAGCCGTGACCTGATATATCGCGTTTTAAACCGTTAAAGTGTTTTATTTAAATGTGTACAACTCGTGTAAACTATAGACAGTATTTAAGCAACGAGTCTGTCAAGACGAATCGCTAATACATTCAATTATGAGCGTATTCCTTGAATATACACAAATATATTTCTTATTCGCACGACTCACTCTGCGGTGCAGGTTTTGATAAATATTAAAATCTTTATAAGACTGACAAGGCATAAATAACATTTGTTGCAGATACCTCAGTTTACCTACTGTCTCCACCACCCATTTATGTTTTGGCATGTGATCATGAATAAATATTAATTATATTATTTAAACAAAAGCTTTTAATACAACAATAAACTATAATTAATTAAAGTAAAATAGCATGTTACAGAAAGCATTTTTAATTTTAAGCAAAAAACCTTTTTAATAAATATTATGTAACCAAGAATCTGTTTTATATTATTTGAAAATATAAGTAAAAGTTTTTGATAATTAATAGCTATGAAACATCAATAGTATAGTACTTACTATAATACGACCTTATTTGCTATAAACTTTAATCATTTTGACCTAAATGCCCTTACATCCTATCTAAATATCAATCAATGGTAAAACATTTTAGTTAATCGTTCTAACAGTATTACCTAAGGGATATACTAGAATTATTAACGATTGAAATATTTAAAATAATATAGTTTATATAGTGTAAACATAATGAATGCTTAACTATAACTAAATTTAATAATAATAAGGGTCAACATTCAAAACAAATGACGTAATATTGTATAGACTGACACATTACTTTGTATCGTATCTTATATTATCTCAATACATCTGTTATAATCAATAGCGATCTGTGTATGCAAATACATCTAAAAAAAGAAAAATCTATCACGAAACATTTAATTTCAAATGGCGATAAATGTAGAAAATAAACTATACAAACTTTTCGGTAAATAATAAGGAAAATAGCAAATCATCTTTTATCTATTTTAAGTGTCATTTCCGGTATCGTCAATTACGTAAACTATATTGCGTCTATAATTCTGAATCGATTGTCAGAACAATAATCGATTTTAATTAGCAAAAAAAGTATGATGTAGTTTTTAATATTACACAACATGTTTTAACATAAATGCAAAAACTTCGTAAATATATTTTATCAAGTCAATGGATCTTTTGTATGTTGTTGGTATTAATAAAGACTTCGATGGTGGTTTTCAATTTCAATTTAATAAGTTCGATTATTTGTTGGCAATCCGATGCCGGAAGTGACAACACCAATCCGAAGCGACGCGACGCACCCACAGATAAGTGTCATGGCGGCCATTTCTTGTTAGTCTGTGATGGCGGCTTAGCATAGAAACCTATTAATTTCTTCAGATAAACCAAGACAAGTAATCTGTGGCGTCCAATATGAGCAATATTAAACCAAACAATACATTTTATTGCTCATTTGTTAGCATTCATTATATTATCTGTGAGTGCGGTGATACTTTTCCAACAGAAGACGAATTAAAAGTGCATCTGGAATCCGACCATAATCGTGTTAAAATCGAGACCTATGAATTCAAATGTGCTACGGTAAGTTATTTATACCGACAACATATCGTCATCTATCCGTCAGCCTCCTGTGTTTACTCTGTTTTACTTAAATAAAACCAAAAAATATTCACAAATTCATTTTTATGCAAAATCTGAGAATGCTATTTTAACATAACATCAATTATCACAAGAACGTCAAAAAGGCGGGATATTGGATAACCTCAAAAGAGGACCCTATTTTTATCCTATAGTATATCCGAACAATTTTGAACAATATCTGTTTCAAACCCTCTAAAATACTTCAGTTTAAATGTATACAAACATATTTGAAATTGTCCTTAGGGTAAGTTATTCATGAATTATGAAAAAAAAGTTAAAGTTGCTTAATATTTCATTTAGCTTCCTACAAAATCAATATTAGATTGATTTTGTAGTAAAAGTAGTTATTAAAGTTGGATTTAAAAAAAGTTCCACTTATCACATATATTATCTATTTTATTTTATTTTTTAGTGCATAAAATTATTTAAAAAATTAAAGAGTATGCTACATTACATTAATATAAGATATAATAGTAGGTTTCTATAGTTAAATGCAATCATTCAGTAACATGGACATAGCTTAGCCTACCTTTGTAGTGCCCTTAGATACTTCATAATTAAAGCTTTTTTTTTATTAATGCATTAATTGCTTATTATGTTTTAAATTGATTCCCATGTACTAAGTTCTAATTACCCCCAGTGCGAGAAGGTATTCTCGTCAGAGCGCGCGTGCGCCTCACACCAGCGGGTACATATGGGACCCCAGATCAAGGTGAAAAGGGAGCCCCAGACTCCTGAGGAACTTCAAGAGAGAAGGCGGTTGATGGGGGTAAAGAAGCATGTGTGTGAAGTGTGCGGGAAGATGTATGCAGTAAGTTTGTATTATAGACTTGACAAATTTTTTGATCTACCAATTATATATTGTTTGCAGATGATCTAGATGAAGATGAAATAAAATTTAAAAGTATAATAGACTGAATGTTGCAAGTACTGCAGTGTGACATATAGCTTACTTTAACTTAAATATTATAATTTCTGTGCTTTTATTTCACGACAAGTCGAATGTATAATATGTGGTGCTAACCTCTGGATAAATAGGTAAATTAATTACTTACTTTCTTCAGTCTTGCCTAATTATGTCTTTTCTTTTAGACTAATGCGGCTTTACGCTACCATCAGAGGATTCACACAGGAGAAAGACCATATAAGTGTCATTTGTGCCCCAAAGCTTTCACCATGCCACTTTTTCTGCAGGTATACCCAATTTTCACTTGTTAAAATAGGTAACATGCATCCATTATAACTGCTTTAGTAAAACTTTTCTATTTGTTTAATGTACATTTTTTTTTCTATTTAAAATATTAAATTCCATAGATTATCAGTTTTGTAGTATTAAAAATTGAAATTCAGAACTAAGTGGCTTATTGTTGTAATAAACCAAATGTTACCGCTGTACCTAAGAAGGTTTACATCCTTGTTCCATAATAATAATTGCTGGTCACTAATATGTATATCCTTTGTGTCCAAAGCTACCTTATTATGAGTGTAAAAACTATAAATTTTATTTTAAATATTGATTTGAGAGTGGAATTTCACACTCATATTATATCCTACCTCGACACATTACAGATCCACAACCGTACGCACACCGGCGAGCGTCCCTATGCATGTCCCCATTGTCCCAAAGCGTTCAGCAACAAGGCGGCACTCTTGAGACACGATCGGGTGAGTTGTTTATGAGTTAAGACAATTTATGCCTAACCGACTCTGACAAAAAACAAACCTTTACTTTCCACCTTATATTTTTGGGCTATTATAGTATGAATGAAATCAGTATGTCATCCATTTCAATTTTCAGCATTGCAAGCCATACCAGAATTATTTATTACTGTATATTTCTTTAATAAATCACTCATGGCCCAACTACACAACACATACAAACTTCTTCCTTCTCTCTTCTTCATTTCTGTTTTCTTGATGTTTAGATTCTATTACATTAAAGAGTCGTTTGTTTATTAGTCTATTAATAAACCATTTTCATACATGTATACAGGGAATTTATAACTTCGCCACCATTTTCAACACGTAATGACTTATTAATCAATGTTGTAGGTCCACACTGGCATCAAGCCATACGGGTGCCCGCAGTGTGGCAAGACTTTCACGCAGTCGAACTCCATGAAGCTCCACGTGAAGACGGTTCATCTCAAAATGCCGGCGCCCTACAAGAGTAAGGCGAGAAAGCTGAAGGAGGCTGCGAAACGTGAGTGTTGTCCCACGCGTGGGGTGGACGTTTGAATCTTACCAGTAACTACCTATATGACCCTGATGAATTTATTTATTAACTTGTATATTTTTAGAATTCATATATTTGTCAATATTATTTTATACATTTAGTTTTTTTATAACTACAAATGCAGTCTGTATTTTTACTCATTTTAATTTCTTTAATTATACGCTTTGGTCTAAATAGGCCATAGCATATTAACCATGTCAAATGACATTGCAAAAAATATAGCGTCAATCACTGTTAAAATAAGGTTTGGTACAAATGCTTGTAGATTGTAGATCATGTTATCAATTTATACCAATGGCAAATATAAGGTTGTGACGTCACTAGCCGTCTTATAGCGTTATTTCGCAAAATTTGCATTCTAAGCGCGCAATTTAAACATTGGATTTTTAATTTGATATATTACAACAAATATGTATCAGAATTCAAAAATACTAACATCCACCAAATAATTCAAAGTACATTTTAAAAATCAGTCTATTAGCTCATTGTGTTAAATCGTCTAACACTACAAACGTCTATACAGTCCACAAATATATAAATTATTTTGATGCTTTAATTATATATACAAATTCAGGCATGGAGGCAGAATTGAAGATCAACAAGGGCTCTGTGAACATTGAGACAAAGGCTATCAAGCTGGACGATGGCACCGATGTGATTCCGCCCGAGTGCGTTAAAACTGAGATGGAGGTGTACGACGATGAAACAGTGTACGCAGAGGAGGCGGATGTGGAGGAGATCTATGAGGAGGTAGGTTGAGTACGGAGTAGAGGGGGTTTGGGGCCTCCACAATGGGAAATTTAATGTGATGATCCCAAATATAAGGGATTAGGTCGAACAAAAACTTTTGCAGATGACCCAATTTCTGTAAATTTCGGTCTGTACTTTTGACATTGAGTTGACTCTATATATATTAAAGCTAAGTACGAAACCAATTGTTTCAATTCATAATAGAAATGCCAAACATAGAGTTAGTAACAAAGTTCGAGTCAAAAATAATTAAAACCTCTAAACTAACATTTACTCAAGGGCGTAGAACGAATGAGATGAACCGACAAGAAACACGTGTACGATTATAACTGTTTATATGTAATTTGTATCTACCCTCACATATGTAACTATACAACTTGCTTCAAATAAGCAATTTAAATATATATAAAATAACAAATTCCAGGTACCAATGTACGAGGGAGGTCTCTTCCGAGACGTGAAAGAGGAAGACCAAGAAGAAGAAATCTTCTATTACGAACAAGAGGTGGACGACAGCGAAGTGCTTTACGAAGAGGTGTATGAGGTCACTGAGGTGTTATAGTGCGGGTTCGACGCCCCGCGAACAAGTTCTGGCCCCATTTACTTTGTAAAATGAATTAGATGAAGGGGTCCTGCTTAAAAGCAGAAATTGTATATTTTCGACTTTATTGTTTAAGTACCGGGGGGAAATTCTCAAAGATGAAACATCAATTTCAAGTCACTACTTGCATATAAAATATGTAACATAAGTTACGACTTATGTCGACGTAAATTTATATCCCCGTTTTGAGAATTGCCTCCCAAAAAGGCCGCGAGAGTAACTTATTACACAACATTAATTCATGAAATACTGTGACTTCCATCTTTTGCCCCAAATTTTGGGTCTTCATTTAACCGATACTGTGGTGATACACACCACATTAATACCGGTTCGGTCCCATTTCATGAAAAATGGGCCTATTGACTATCTTAAGATACTATAATAGTGTATATAAAAGGATTTAAGATATTTGGTGTTTTCCTTATTGCCATTCCTGTAAATAACACAAATTCATCGTCAACAATTTTTTTTGACGACAAAAGAGAGACACGCTTGGGGTTCACTCGATGGAAGATTAAGTGCCTCAGCCATATGACATCGCGGTAAGATATGTTGTCTACCTATTTTTGGCTTTGGATACTCGGAAACACAGAATGAAACCAAAAGGTGATTAAACTTGACGGCTTTTTTATCTGGGGACGGTGGCTCGTGACCTGAATTTCAATATTCCTACCCCCCCGTTTAATATCGAATAATATGTTAAACCTGGTGGGGATCGAATTCACAACCCGTTGATTATTACCATACTTTGCTACATCTATCAACGAGCCAGGCTTGATTTATGAACAGCTCACTTAATTTATACCGCTAATTTTACTTAAGGTAAAAGTGAAGCACGGCTTTATGACGGTTACGATGTCTTATATTTTATTTAATAGAGCGTGTTCTCTTTCCCACGATACCATACTAACGACAAGGATAAAAAACTCGTTATACAGAATTGATCATTTTGGGCCACAGATTGTAGGATTGAAAATAAAAGACCATTTGTAATAAAGTTACACGTTTACTACGGGTCATGTGTGAAATTAAATTAAATAAAAAACTGCCGATCCTATAATTTACAATCTTAATTTACATAACTAAGATTACGAACTACTATAAGTTTACGATAGTGTAGCTTAATATCTAAACAGAAAAATTAAGGAAAACCGCAAAGGTTGAACCTATATCAGTGAAACGGAACGGCGTCTATCTCTAGCTTATCAGAAACTTGTCCATTTTGATTTCCTTGTTTAATATCGAGCGACTTAAAATAACATGAAGTTAAGAAGAATGAAAGATTTTTTTAATACATGTTATCATTGCTGTCTGTAGTTTACGCGAGTAATACACATTAAAAAGCACTTAAACGGTTTAAAACGCGATAAATATTAGTTAAGGCTATTTGAAAATTAGACCCTTGTCTCCCCGTGACCACGGCTGCTGAAAAGCATCCGAAACGTCGGGCTGTTAAAAATATTTTTCAAATAAGTTTAACTAATATATATCACGTTTTAAACAGTTAAAGTGTATCATTTAAATGTTATCAATACTAAAATCTGAAAAAAAAGATAATTTTCGGCTTGACACAATCTTGAGTTAGCATTCCTCTTTATTCTTTCAGATCATTATTACAACTTCAGCTACCAATATTAAGCTACACTTAAAGTTTAAGTAAGCGAAATGGCAGTGTTTACAAGAATCACGAATTAAATATATACACAATAAATTAATTAAATAGTTTTATTACAGTTTAAACTTACACGTTTAATTATGTATAAGTTGGTCTTAAATTAAAATGAAGGTTATTTATAAAAATTTGCTGGGTTTGAATTCACTAGGTTTGTTCTTGAAAATGTCACACCTACAAGCAGACAATTGAGCTACCGTTTACTATAATTTCGTTTAGTATCATTAATGATATTGTATACAGCATCTTTATACCTTAAAAAATGAGTTACAACGTATTATAAAAACATACAAGTATTTAATCTTCTCACAACCAATAGGTAAAGGTAACCTAAAATTTATTTCTTAATGATGTGTCAATATTGCTTTTCGACTTAAATAAATATTGCACGTTTTAAAGATAAATTTACAATACGTAGGCTGTTACATCTAAATGATAATGCATTAAGAATTTGTTTTTTTTTCGAGTAAAAGAAGCCACATCTACAAATAAAAAAAATAGAGGGAACAAGATTCAAAATTAATGATTGTTTACATTCTAGGTCACGATACGAAAAAAAAATCACCTAGTATTTACCATGATTACATAATGTGTTAAACTACCCTTAGGAAATTCTTGGAAAATATTTACAAGAGCTTTTGCATAATATGATTTTAATAGACGATTCTAATTATATTTGCATTATATCCTCATTATTTTCAAACATATATTAGGTAACTTGTTTACAAATTATTTTAACTGCGGCCCGACAGCAGCCGTGGTCACGGGAAGTCTAAAGATGGAGGGTGTCTCTAATATTAAAGTAAAAGACTGTTAAACATAAATAAGTTACATACAATTATGTTAAAACATTTACGTCGAATGTAGATTTATTTTAGTCTTTTTAGTATAGGTTTTAGTGTCCTCTCCCTTAAAAATTTAAGCGATGTGTACCTATGTTTTAACTTTATATGTGATAATTGTTAAAAATAGATAATGAGCTATGCGCTTATAATTAGAATCGACTATTTAGATGTACATAGTCTAAAATAGCATTACTATCACTAACACCTTTATTGCTTACATTAATAGTACTAAATATTATAAATTCATTTTGATGGATGTGATGTGAAAATTAATACTTATCTATGTGTTGCCGTTGCGTTTTAATGTGTATTTCTATAAAACCTCAATTGTATTCACTTTTGTGTAAACTCAGACCTGTCTAAAGTTAGAGATCTAGTTTCAATAAAATATGAGACGAGAAGATTGTATAAAAATTCACATTTCTCGACAACTGGCAACATAATCTAATTTGATAGCTTAGAAACACTATTGTATAGGCTAGACGCGATTTATCAAACGTTATCAAAATACACAAATCAATGGGTTCTACCAAGGCTCAGTATTTGGGCCACTTTATATCGTTTTATATATCGTTGACTCGGATTAATAAGAAGGCCAACGGAAATCAATAAGCAAAAACGAATCAGATTTAAAAAAAGCAGACGGGTTTACTCACAACACTTAGAAAGATTAGGTATTGTGTCTGTCATGTTTAGATTGTTTTTAATTTATGTATAACCGAACTTTAAACCATTCATTGCCAATTTATATTCTAACTCGAATTCGTAGTAGTGTATTTGCTTTACTGTTTCTATCGTTAAAAATAAAACCTTTGAATAAAAAATAATTAGTGGAAAACCTGAAGCGTTCTGGTATTTTCGGTCTATATATACATATATTCTTTTATCGTTTAAAACATGACAGAGACATAAAAATCCTAACTTATGTAGTTTTGGTGTTATATAAGTTATCATTTAACGACACTTTATTTCTACACGGTATCTGGATATAGTCAAAATATTTCAATAAACAAACTTTCAGGGTATTTGGTTAGCTTGAAATTGCATAACGACAGATTCATTTAGTAAAGGAAATTGAGTGATAATGTTTTCTTTAGTCTGAGAATATTCCTCCTATTTCATACGACATCATTAATTTCTTTGGTATTTTTTTTGAATATTTATAGGTATGCATTCAGCGAAAAAAATTAAATATATCTTTTAAGTATGTTTTATTTCAAATTATGACTATATCCTCACGCATATACCTAGAATACTTAAAACAAAATATACATTTAAATATAAAATATCCAAAATTACGATTCAGGTATAAAAAGTGTCCTGTTTGGAACGTCTAACGGAAATATTTTTAAATGTCAAACGTCAGATGTCAAAGTCGACTTGTCTATTGTCAGTCATCCGAATGTGAAGAGGGTGTATACGATTAGGAAAATGCTCAATCGATGCTCGCGCGCTGATGAGAACATTGGTGATAGTTCGTTTGCGTGCGCAGTGTGAGATCCACCGAGAGTATGGAATTGGAAGATATCGCTTACCTGAAATAAAGAGAAGGGAAATCTAAAATTCCATACAAAAAAGGGTTGGAAAAGCCCTAACCCTACTGAAATATTTTTCTTAGATTCCTCCATGATATAGAGGCAATATTTCATCTGTGGTACAGGGGGGTAATCTGTGTATCTCTTCGAGTCCGTGGTTTTCTTGTCTGTATGATTTAGAATAAAACCGGCTAAATTGGATTTATGTAACATTATATTCAGGATGTACAACAAAGAAATATCCATAAATTCCATTTCTAAACAAAACCCAACAATACACATTTTTAAACGATCACATACTGTCCGATCCTGTTTGCTAGCTGTCAAAATCATTTTCCTTTATGTCCATATGAATATGTCGCACGCTTTGTTTTTCCGTGCCCCAAAAAAAAAAAAACCTTTTGGGAAACCAAAAAAAAAAATGTGGTGGGGTTTTTTTATTTTTTTTTTTTTTTTTTTTTTTTTTTTTTTTTTTTGGTTTTCTCTCAAAAAAAAATAGGACGTGACCACGCTGCTTATATATATTTTCTTAGTTTACTTATAATAGTTAAATAAATAAAGTAATTTCGTTTATAATAAGTATATACTAACTTCGTTCCAACCATATCTGTTCTTCGCTTGGACTATCGCTTCGTAGACAGCACCAGCCTCTAGGCCTCTCAATTCATGGGTCACCCGATGGGTGAGAGACCCAGTGGGTTCTGGTGCTGGTATCACCACGTCGTGCCACCGACCTGGCTGTTGAAACGACTCGTTGATCTGAAATAAGAGAATTTCGCTATAAAACAATTTATTAAATAAAAATGCAAATTAAAGATTATCTATACTGATATATAAAGCAAATGAGATCGTGTGTTAGAACACGCTAATCTCAGGAAGTACTGGTTCGAATTTAACAATTCTCTTTGTGTTTGTTAGAGCACCTATGAGGAAGGCCATAGGCTATTATCTAGAGAGAAGGAAATTAAAGGGTTTTCGATTTTGTGGGTTTTGATTCTTGAACTGCGAAAACGGTTCAAAATACCCAAAAAAAGATGTATGATAGAATGATTCTTCTTTAAAGAATCTAAAGAAACCGCGCACTATATGTCTATCTTGCAATAGCGATGTCATGAGTAATAGTCTTAATTTATAAAGATAAGGGGTTTGCATAAACAAATTTGGATGCCAAAATAACAATTCTACGCGGACGAAGTCGGGGACACAGCTAGTTACTTAATGTATATCTGAGTACACTTGTGAACGTCACCAAATATAAATAAAATATTTGGCAAATGCTGTAAGATATAATAGTTATACTCACAGCCAACTGTCGGTACAGCAACCTCAATTCGTCCAGTGGTGGGTAACTGTCCACAGCGAAGGTTAACGTATAAGCGTGCGCGGTGCGGGCGAGGGGGGGTGAAGTGAACCTTGCTGGTCCCGGCCGACCAGACACTTCGACGTGCTGTCTCGCTCTACCCAGGCTGTTGTCTGCTACGCATCTGTAGAGAAATGTCCATTTAGGTTAGGTATTTGAAATAGTATTTACAATTACTTAGCCTCTAGGTTCTTTAAATAATACAAAGATAAGTTCTTAAGAGAATGAGAAAATCCAGGAATTTCCGTATTTACTGTGCCGTTTTGGACGTGGTGGAAGATTTGGTAGAACAGTATGGAACGATGTGGTAGGTTCTAGTTCTGCCCGAGTCGTCGAGGATTTTATCAGGATTTTTAATTTATATAAAACGTAATCATTTGCATATTAAATACTATTTTACATAAAAAAATAACTTAGTTGACACGTATAGGACACGGTAGCTCAATTGGTTAGAGCAACAGCACGGAACGTGAGATGCCGGTTCAAGTCCTTCCCCGTGTCGTATTGTTTTTCAATTTAATTTAATACATTTTTAATTATTAATTTAAATTACAGGAATTTCAACTACTTACGTATAATTTCCAAAGTCTTCAGGTTGCACATTAGCAATAAGCAAGGTATGATTATTCCCTCTTACGGACATCGTTACCCGTTCTGTGCCGCTCAAGGGGAAGGAGTTCTGGTACCATAACACCTGAGGTAATATAATTACTTAAGATTCTAATACACACTTTTAAAACTAATATAAAAGGTTATAGAGTTATGGAATCAGTTATTCTATTATAACATGCTTACTTATTTTTGTGTTTGAATGTATAATGTTTGTAGTAAAGTAGAGTAAGTTTGTAAAGTATTTATAATTAGAACTTTGATGCGAATATTAGCTTTCAAGTTATGAAACTTTACGATTTAAATTTTTCCAATCTTTTTTAGAGGTTAAAAGTCTAAGGAAAATGGCATTTTTTTTCCTTTTGAAGAACATAGACGGTGATAGCCCTTTCGTTAGAGTTGGTCGCGGCTTCGAATCCCGCCTGTCAAAGTCAAAAACACTTTAATATACTAAGTTATACCTCAGCGGGTGGATCTGCGAGGACCGTACAGAGTAGTTCAGCTCGAAAACCTTCCCCGGTGTGCACCCATGACCTCTCCACCATGATTTCAGGGGGAACTAAAAAAAGTTATTTTTTAACTTGTTAATTTTCATGCTTCGAAGATTTTTCTGTAATCGACAATATGTAGCCATCGTAGTACAGTTCGAGGGCATATTGAATACCATACAATCACGTAAATAAATCTAATTGACATCATTTATTATACTAGCTGTGCCAGCGAGTTTGTTCTAAGATAGACATATTGTCGCGGATATTTCTTTAGGCCATAGAGAAATCATTCTTTCATACATCATTTTGGTATGTTGGACTGTTATTACAGCGCACGCAATGGAAAAGATGAACAATTTTCCTCGTCCGTTCCACATTTCCCATACCTTCTTTGCACAACATGCTTTAATCGACACAAAAACATTTCAATTCGAACCAGTAGTTTCAGAAATTAGCGTGGTTAAACTAACAAACTTTTCAGATATATATATTAGTATAGATTATTTGGCGATGACCTGGGCGGTCACCCAACAGCACCGTAACGCCGCTACTGCCTCAGTTAACGACTGACTGTCTAAACTCTCTTTTATAATCCTGTTTATACTAACAGAGGACTTGCAGCTGAAACTCCGTAACAATAGGTGGCCCGACGCCATTGTCGACGGTACAGGCATATCTCCCGCTGTGCTGGCGCTCCAGCCTGGACAGCTGGAGTTGAGGACCTTCGCCCAGACGGGTGCTCGTATCATTCTAAAAACAGATATTATATAGAAAATGTAGAGTCTTAAAATGTAATGCAAACAGTTAAAATTGTTCAGTGTAAAATTTATTAATGTTGCTATTATTATTTAACTATGTCATCGATATAAATAAATTATTTAGTAACATATATATGTTTAAATGAAAAACTTTAACGGTTTAAAACGCGAAATATAAATTGAAATTTGTTTTAACTATGGTCCAACGTCGCTGTAGCTTGGCAGCAGCCGTGGTCACGGGGAGACGAATATATTTCACGTTTTATACCGTTAAAGTGTTTTATTTAAATATGTAATACTCGCGTAAAGTACAGACAGTATACCTCTATTTTATGCTGAAGCCCGTATTTGCATTTCGTTCATATTACTTGTAGACACCTACAAAAACCTACGCCCGTATTGGGAACTGTCAAGGGCCCTTGTCTTTTCCCCCTTCTTACCAGCTTATGCCAAGTAACTGACGGCACCGGGTTCCCAGAAGCCCTGCACTCCAAGACAGCTGCGCCACCACGCCTCGCAGCAGCATGTCTGGACTCGGGCGAAGGCCGAACGCTGGGCGGAACTAGGACTTCCACGGTGTGGACCTGATCACGCGCAACTCGATCCGAGATTTGGCAGACGTAGTCGCCAGCGTCCTGAAATATGAGGTATTGAAAAGGTTATCGTTATGACACTAGTCTGGACTTTTTAGTAGATAGATTGCTTTATGGTAGAGGAGGATAGACAAGCATGCTTAACTTGATGGTAGGTGATATACCCTAGCCTATACCGACTTATTTTGGTTTTGGATATTCGGAAATCCACAGATTGGAACCGAAACGCGATTAGACTTTACGGCTTTATCATCTGTGGACGGTGGTTCGTGACCCGGACGGAATTTCAATATTCCTCCCCACCCATTTATTATACAGGTTTTCAGATGAAGTCCAACATGTTGGCGATAAAAGGAGTGGCGGCGAGTTTATTGCCAGTTCTTCTCGTTCGTTGTACGCCCTTGATTTGAGAACTGGTAGTAAATGTAAAGTTAGATTTTTTAATAATTTTGTTACGTTCCTAAGTGTAACTACATAAATAAATGATTTTTGACTTTGACTTTTCAGAAACATCGAACTCTCGATCCATTGATTATTAGCCATACATTACTACCATCAGACCAACGAGCTCATTAAAATACGCGTGTCCTAGAGCAAGTGACAGAACGCAGAAAAAGCTATAATTGTTATATTAATGCGCAAGAGACTTGAAGTAAATCAATAATTTCCGAACAGAAGTTCTCAAATAACTCACAGCACACACGCCTCTCAATATTGTTAAAGTAATGTTGTACGTTATCCCATATGTCTCACAAGTCTTATCAAAAAATTTCCATACAATTTCTGAGGGTACTGTATCAAAGCCATAATGCAAGTACAACGCATAATTGGAGGGTAGAAATATGATAATTGCCATATAAAACGGCGTTATGGCGACGCTTCGTTATTTTTTATTATGGCAACCCGCAAATGTCAGATGGGAAACAGCGAGCTCGATTCCTTATACTTTTTAAGCGACTACAAAAGAAGATTATCAAAACAGGTAACGCGAAATACAATATATTAGTTGGGTTAAATTAATTTTTGTTATACGTTTTTATGGCGTTAATTTTAACGTCATAATATATATATGACGTCCATTCAGAAATACTTATATTTTGATCGTCTTTGAATATTGATTATCAGTTAATTAAATCTAAGATCAATCGTTCACGAACGATTTAGTTCGTTAGAAAATGAGCGGTTTGATCGTAAGCTTTAATCTATTTTTCTCTGAGTCTAAGGTTGGTTGATTATGGTTGAATTAAAATTAAGTATTAAGAGTCTATGCGCAGTATGCAGGTAGCAGCGGGATCGAGTCCCGCCTGTTTCCTCATTTATTCATCACTCACCTGAGGTCCGACATCTGTTATCTGCAAGTTGTATCCATCCACCAGACGAAACCTCTCATCCCTGGTTACCATGAGGCTAGCGGCCGTCAGGACAGCTGGACCACGCCTCCATAATAGGACTAGGGAACCTAGAAATGACAGTGACAAAATTTGGACCTTCAAAAATATATAAATAATGTTTCCCGAGCTTTAATAACACTCTTTAGTTTGATTAAAATATAACTAGATAGCGGTCTTATGTAGAATAATAGTTTTGACAGTACTCGCCTGTTGAGTTTAGTTTTTTTTTCGGGAAGATATTACCGAATTATATCGCAATGAATGTAAGACATCTTGTAAAAGTCCCGATTAAATCATCTTGAATTGGTGAAATGTCAAAAAACAATTTCACGCGTTTTAATCAGTTTTAATCATTCACTTCTTACCTAAATTCTGTACTTGACAAGGCAGTAAAAGTGTGTCACCGACAACCGTTCTGAAGGAGTGGCCACGAGATACGAACCTTGGCCCATCATCTGAAAAAGAGTAAAAGTATTATAACAGCATTTGGGCAGTCAGTTCTTACTCATTGAATACTCCTGAACTGAATTGATGCAACTTTTTAGTAAATCACTAACTTCTAAAAAAGTTTACGACAACACAAAACTTTTTCACATTTCTCAATTATTCACCTACACCTATATACATGCATTTACATTCATAAAATTATTACACATAGCACACAGTCAAAGAACTCTTACAAAGAAAAATCACAGATACCAAACTAAAAATAAAAACGACCTGTCACTACCCCAACTTCGAACTAATTACGGTAAAAAAAAGTATAAGATTTAAGGGTCCTGATCTGTATAATAAGTTATCTGAAAGTATAAAAAACGCCCAGTCTATTAACATCTTCAAAAAATCATTAAAGTTCCATATTTTAGAATAAGAATAACCTTATAATTAGTCATTTTTTTATTTATATAACACTGTTTCGTTTAATTAAAGTACCGACGCATGTAAACACATTTAAGTGAATATGTATATTCTTAGAGAAAATAAAATACTTTAAACCTAAAGCATGCTGCATTAGTGAGCGTCAAAGCCTTAACTAAATTATTTTTTTTATTATATTTAGAAATGCGGTATAGATTTCATTTGTTTTATCAAAATTAGCCATCCCGAACAATCTTAAAGAAAAGGCAATAAATTCTTGTAAATGTTAAAAGCAATTATATTCTTATTGTTATATGTGGATTTATTAGGTTGGTGTGTCTGTGGTGGTCTATGTCACCTAGCCTCTTTGGCAGCTTGTCTATTTTGTCTGTTGTACAAAATGGCGGTTTGGTATTAAAATGTATTACGACTGTATACCATTAATTCTTTCTTATAATAAACGCATAAAACCATATTGTGACTTTAATAATTATTATTGTATTATTAAGAATTGTTTTAACTTAACATTTTGTTTAATTTGTACTGCGATATCGCATTGAAATCAGCATCTAGTTAAAACCTGACAGAATAATATAGTTTTTAAAATAATTATCAAAAATAGAAGCTAGGAAGTAGTATACAACTAGTGCCGGAAGTAGGTTCCAAGCGTTATCGCTCTTCCGGTTAGAAATTGCGTTTAAACACGAAGTAATTGTTAAAGGGTTTTTTATTTGTCCCTTTTTAGTTATCTCGATTTTCCGTCGCGAAAATTCACTACGTTTCATAAAATAGATTAGAGAATTGCGTTTGCTTAAACTCGACAGAAATTAAGTGGCTTTTAGTGGAATAGAAAATATAGTTACACGCTAGTGTACGTTTATGTCTTTTTTTTTCTTTGTTTTTTTTTTTTTTTAACGGTTAAAAAGGGTCACGAGGAGACTGACACCCACGGCTGCTGCAAAGCATCCGAAATGTTTCGGGTCAAATAACAATTAAATATTCATAAGAACAATAATCGCGTAACCGTTAGTGTTTTTCCAGGATTTGAACTCTATATCCCCTCGTACTACTAATGCAAATAACGCGAAACCCAAGCCACAAATGTAAGCCAGTAGTTAATGAGAAGAGTTAATAAATAGTTAAATTGTTAATTTATAAGGATACAAAAACAGAAATAAAATACATTGTAAAAAGGTAAAATAAAGAAACTAATTTTAGATGGTAATTTTTTTGAAAAGTTACCTCTGTACTTGAACGACTTGGACAGTAATACGCACGACATACTATTGGATAGGCCGGATAGATGCAGGGGGGGTTTTAAAGGGCGTTTATAGATGTATGTTGTAAGGTACCGAAGCCGGTTCGCATAAAGCGATAGACGGTTTCTTTACCGGTTTAATAGTGTGAAATAAAATGATAATGTAAAAAAAGTTAAATAAAAAAAAATGTGTATGTCTATATTAAAGTTCTTTCTCTTAAAAAATACAATAATTTTACGAGAGCGAAGGTACTATTTGCAATGTTTGGCAGTAATTGTAAATGACAAATATTGTATATGAGATATAAAGCAAAAACGCGAATAACAATAAATATAAATAAGCGAGGCGTCCGTAATGGCGGCGCTTCCGGCCATCGTAAACTTATCGCCAATGGCGGCCGGATGTTGGTGTTGTGACGTCATTTCCGCAGTCGTTTAGCGTCTGTATTTTATTGGATTACCGTTCTGTTTTCGGTGATATTTCATCTTGGTTGGGAAAAGACTCTAGAAAAATGGTGCAGTAAAAAGGAGCACCCAAAAAGACATTTCAAAAGAAAATCCGTTTACTTGAACACATATAAATTAGACATCTTCGCGTTTCTGACAGGAACATTTCATATAGATTCATAATTAGTAGCTTTGTCCACTTATAATTACTATTTATACAGCGTAGGTGCATCTTTACGTCGTTAAGTTTGACGAGAGTCAATAGTTTTTTTAGTTTTTATATTGATCGATACAGTTTAATAGCTGTCAAAGAAGTCTTGCATTGCGTTATATGGAAGATTTTAAACTAATATCAATTATCTATGGTTAGTCGCTCTTGCAAGCTAATCTTAAAAGATAGACATATAGCGCCGTGGACTTTTTTTAGATCATTTAAAGAGGAATTCTTTCATACACATTTTTTGTTATCTTGAACCGTTTTCGCAGCGTAGGCAAGTAAAACCCACAGAGATGAAAATTTTCCACCGTTTTGTTCACTTTTCACGCTGTATCTTCGCTTCTATTAGTCAGAGCGCGATGTTTTATAGCCTATAAACTTCCTCGATAAATGTTCTAACCAACACAAAAATAATTTTTCAATTCGAACCCGTAGTTCCTGAGATTAGCGCGTTCAAACAAACAAACTATTCAGCTTTATATATTAGGATAGATTATATAGGTATATCTAACAAAGCTAAGGTAATAAAGCGGGAGGAAACATAATAGTAAACAAATAATATATCAAGAAAATCAACTGAACGGAATCCACTGAACTAAATTCAAAAGAAGAGAAAAGCTTTTCCAAGAGCTATCGAGTTTTTTCGAATCTTTAAAAGAAAACTCGGAAAAACTCCGATATAGCACCATTTGTCAGATGCACTAAATTAATATGCTTAGTTTTGATAAATTTTCCAAGTTTAAATTCTTGGAAATTTTCTCACAGAGTTTTTCTGTTTGCAATACATTTCATTTAGAGAATTAATATAATAGACGCTTCTTAATATGGACTTTGGTTTAGTTGTGTAAAAGTTACCCTTAATTGCGATATGCGGCATGGGGCAGAACAAATTACTGTGTTGTGCAAAGTTATAAAATCTTCATAACATCCATTACTTTTACATATTTTGTATTTTATTGTATGTTGTTAGGCCCAAAAAATATATTAAAAGTTACTCACTTCTATTATTCTGCGCGTACGCAGCAGCGAAAATGGCCGCCAATAACAACCACGACGCCATGTCTCAGCATCTATCCGTCCTTGTTGCACACTGCCTCATCTACAACAAAGGAAAGAAATGGCTATAAGTTAAGAAAAACGTATTCAACAATGATAATGTATTTTGTTATGATACAGAGGGCAGATAGGCTTGTGCTCACGTGGTGGTGGGTGAAATATCCAAGCGATATAACATCTGAAGTGTAAACTACATGCGATGTCGACCTATATATAATTAGCGATTAAACTTTTAACGGCTTTTTCATCTGTGGTATTTCAAATTTCTAGGTACATTCCTACCCATTTGAAATACAGATTTTCCAGAAAATGTTTCAGAAAATTATAAATAAGTAACGTGATAGACCCGGTGGCGATCGATCCCACGACCTAATCGACTAATTATTAGCTATTGGTAATAATTAACGGATCGTACAAAGCTATACTATATTTTTAAAATTAAGAATGCGATAAAGTGTATATGAGTAATATGCATATAAATAAAATACTTTTAACGGTTTAAAACTTATTTTTTGTTAACTGCGACAATGCGACATTTCGAATGCTTTGTAATAGATAGAAATAATTGGTTAAATGATCATATAAACGTCGTTAAGTCTAAACGCTAGATTTTGAAACGGATTTACTTAGATAGCGTATCATTTCACAATTACAGAAGTTCCCGCTTTCTTCAAAAACTGGTACGCTGATTTCGCAATAAAAATATGGAAAACAAACTATTGATGCCGCTAGAGGCAGAGTAGCCTAACTGCAATCTTGTGACTTATTGATATTTTTATAGTCTAAGCATGTTTATCTACAAGATCACAGTGGCCGAAAATTGTTAACATAATTCTTAAACAAATAATTATCGCACAATTTAATTACGCATTTTTCATGAATATCGTGGCATTTGTTAATAGGCCACTCTAGCTCTAGCAGCCTCAATTTACACACGAAAATAGAGGTAAAACACAATTTGAACGGCAATTAGAGAATATGAATTTGGTATGAAACGTCGAAATAAGGAATGATATCGATAAACGCATAATTGCAGGGTGCCATGATTGTTTTCCAAGCGACTAGCCACCCCTCGGAGGGGTGGGAATTGACGTTAAGGGTTGTCACAAAAAATATAATTTTTTAATGCTATTTTCTGGTCCAAAGTTCCACAGGCTCGTTGGTCTAACGGTAGCAATGTATAGCTAATAATCAACGGGTCGTGGATTCGTTCCCCGTCGGGTCTTTATACATGTTTCTTATTAAATACTGTCTATAGTTTACGCGAGTAGTACAAAATGATTTTTAACTTCGCCCTGACGTTTCGGATGCTTTGCAGCTGCCGTGGTCACGGGGAGACGTCGGGCCGAAGTTAAAAATCATTTTCAAATAAGTTTAACTAATATATCGCGTTTTAAACCGTTAAAGTGTTTTATTTAAATGTTTCTTATTTTTCAATTTATATTTTTTCTGAAACACGTTCGACTTCGTCTGGAAGTCTGGATATTAAATGGATGGTAGGAATATAGAAATTCCGCCTGCGAACCACCGTCCAAGCTTAATCGCGTTGCGGTTTCGGTCTGTGGCTTTCCGAATATCAAAAGCAAACATGGGTCGACGACGCATCTAGTTTAGATGCTATAGATTAGCTTATATCACCCATCGAGTGACCCCGTGCTTGTCTATCATTAAAAAAAAAGTTTCGAGTTCCTTTGTTTTGTATGAACGTACGAGCGATAGTGTTACGATTGCACAATCTAGAGTAGCAACCCTTAAGTGGCCTTGTAAGCTAAGTGTAGAGAAATCAATCATAGTATTTCGAAGGGAAATAAAAACAATGAATAACTTATAAAGGGTGAAACACAGGGTTGTGCCAGCGAACAATAGTAGACTAGCGTTATTACAAGCCCCTACAGTACTGTTATCCCAGATATAGGTATCTTTACCAAAATGCGTTTAGCGTGAAATGAATCAAACTCTTAGCGACTGCGTCCGCGAGAATCGTTATTTTGGGCATACAAAAATGTTTTTGTAACCGGTTACCTCCGTAATCGGTCGCGTCCCGTCTCTCGCAACCCGCCGTTTGGGTCCCGTCGTTCTTGCGAGTTCATCTTAAGAGATAGACACATACTGTCGTGACATTTTTTTTGATGATTTAAAGAGGACTCATTTTCTCATACATATTGCTTAGGTATCTTTAACTGTTTTTGCAGCGTACGCCTCGGAAACCCATAATGAGGAATAATTTTCCCAATTTTTGTCACTTTTCCCGCTGTATCTTCGCTCCTATTAGATATAGGACGATGTTTGATAGCCTATAGCCTTACTCGATAAATGCTCTAACTAAACAAAAATAATTTTTCAATTCGAACCCGTAGTTCCCGAGATTAGCGCGTTCAAACAAACAAACAAACTCTTCAGCTTTATATATTAGTATAGATATAGATTGGCAAGATTTGTATGCCAAAATTCTGTACATTTAATTTTCATATGTTGTTTATTTAAATTTAAAAAAAAACAGGCCGAAAAATAATGATATAATTTTCAATATTTGACAGTATATGAATACTGTCTGTAGTTTACGCGAGTGGTACACATTTAAATAAAACAGATTCAAACGGTTTAAAACGCGATATACTAGTTACACTTATTTGAAAATTATATCATTGTTATTCGGGCTGTTCGGCCGGACGTGAACGAGAAGAGGTTTAAGACGTTTCCCCATCACGAGCGTTAGCTCCTTGATTGCTCAAAGAATTCTTCTGAAGAAACATCTCCTGTCATGCCGTCCGCTCGTGATGGCGAAACATCGAGATCCTCTTCTCGCTCACGTCGGCCGAGCAGCCCGAAAAACAATAATTTGCTGAACAATGGCCTTGAAAGCCTTACACCATTTATTATTTGATGAAGGTCGCAGTTAAAATAATTTTCAAATAAGTTTAACTAATATATAGCGCGTTTTAACCCGTTAAAATGTTTTATTTAAATACGTTGTTTTAATTAATAATTTGTCAATTACTTAAAAAATATAAGCCCATCTTCTTTAGTACCAATAAAACCAAAAATTCTTCCCCCTTTACTCAAGCAATTAGGGCAGGGGTTGTAAACGTTTCTCGAGTATTCAATATTTCAAGTATTTTTAAAAGAACTCATTAACTTTTAAAAGGCTAATTAATCTTAGATCACTTACAAGGTGAAAGTTACTTAGATCATTTACAACTTTCCTTAAGGCTATTAAACACTAATTTGCGGACGTTTAAAGGGAATTCTGCAAAATTATTTTAAGGCCTATTTTTGAATTTATAACGAAAAGATCGTAAATAGCATTATTATGTTTACTAACAACTCATCACTATGTTTTTATTAAACATGTAAGGTAGATTTATTTAGGTAGTTAGATCGTTGCTTAGTTTTTAATTTAAATAAAACACTTTAACAGTTTAAAACGCGATATATATTAGTTGAACTTATTAACTACGGCCCGACGATTCGTATGCTTTGCAGCAGTCGGCCGGAGGGACCGGGCCATTAAAATAAATTTTCACGTTTTAAACCATTAAAGTCTTATTTAAATATGTGCTACTTTGCGTAAACTATAGACAGTGCTTAGTTTGTAATTTCGAAATATATTTTTTAACAAAGTAGATAAGAAAAACAGACTATCTTTTATTAATATAATTGATGAGAAAATGCCATGGGGGTGGGTTTATTGCATTCCACAGTTCGTGTGGGGTTGTAACAAGCAATAAGGTTTTATTCGAATAGAGAGATTTATATGTTTACTACTTCTGTTTTGCGATGTTTGATGCTTTTTAGAAAACTTATGGGAATTGAAAATTGGATTAGTTCTTAATTAAATTAGAAAGAAGATGGATACATATTGTCGCGAATATTTGTTTAATACTGTCTGTAGTTTAGGCGAGTAGTACACATTTAAATAAAGCAATTTAACGGTTTAAAACGCGATATATTTTAGTTAAACTTATTTGAAAATGATTTTTAACTTCGGCCCGACGTTTCGGATGCTTTGCAGCAGCCGTGGTCACGGGGAGACTAAAGATGGAGGATGTCTCTGACGTCAAAGTAAAAAAAATAATAGCTACTGTTCCGTCGAAGTTGGTATTTGGCGAAACTGGCCGGGTCCTTACAGAATTGACTAACGGTGTCTTCGCGTTTGCCGGTATGCTGTTTATTGGGATCCAGAGTTTTTAATATGGGATCCCAGGTGTTTGATAGTTTGAGGCCGTCCTCCCTATTGAAATTTCGGTGTTTTTTGATTTCAATTGCTTCGCGTACCAATCTTGGAAAAATCGACTCTCCTTTTCGAGGATTTTTGGCTGGTCAAAGCGAATGTAATGGGGCCCTTCCGATGAGTGTTGGCATACCGCAGATTTGGAGAGACGTTTGTTTTATATCCGCGACGTGTTCTTTAACTCTGTTGAACAACAGAATTGTTCAGAAAGTCGGGCCGAAGTTAAAAATTAATTATATAATTTTCAAATACGTTTAACTAATATATTGCGTTTTAAACCGTTAAAGTGTTTTATTTGAACTTATTATAGTTTTAGTGTCACCCCTATTGTCAAATATTATTGTATCTACAAGGTTGCTTGAAAGAAATCGCTTTTTTCTACTTACTTGTGACATTAAGTGACATTAAACTATTAACCCTGTTTAATCGCGTTTCGGCATCAGTCTGAGGATTTCCGAATATCCAAATACAAAATAAGTCGACAGAGCACAGTTTAGATGTTGTGCCGCTAAGGTACCTATTACATCTACCATCAAGCGAGTCCTTTGCTTCTCTGTCCTCGAGTATCATAAAAAAAAATTGATTAGGATTTTATGTAAACCTTTAATACTAAAAGTCGATTAAAATTGCTGCATTTAATTAAGTAAAGTGTAGTAACTGAATATTATCTTATTAAATCACGAAGAAAGAGCTGGTGGGGTCAGAGCGAACTTTTGACATATCTGTCACCCGACACGCCCAAAAGCTCAAATATAAGCCGCACTATGTAAATG